TCTCTCTCTCTCTCTCTCTCTCTCCCTGTCTCTCTCTCTCCCTCCCCGCTACCAAGTGGTCGTCCAGAGGCTCCGCCCACAATTGTGTGAAATGAGTGACGAACAGTGCTATAGAAACCTTGTCATCACGGGGGTTAGGTTCTGAACTGCTTCACAAAACCCCAAGTTTGCTATGATTTTGCCTAAAATAAAGAGGTTCTGAACTGCTTCACAAAACCCCAAGTTTGCTATGATTTTGCCTAAAATAAAGATTACAAACTCCTGTGACTTTCATACTATATTTGCCAGTGTATGTTTGTATTTTTCAAATTCTTTTTACTGTATTATTATTATTAATATTTTCATTCTTCATAATCAAGTTTTGAAGTTTAATCATGTTTTATTACAGAAATTTGGTGACCCAAATGAAGCTAAATACCCAACGAACATAGTTACTGGAATAACATCATTCATCAAAATACAACCAGCAAAGCCATCACGTGAGGAGAAGCGACAAACAGGACTGCAAAAGAAGAGGGATCGAGAGGATGAGACGATAAAAAAGAAAGAAGAATTATTAAAATTGAAAGCAGAGGGGCAGAAAAGGTTGGTCAGGAGATAAATATCTAGAAATATGAAAGTCAGAGCTGTTCTTAGGATTCATAATTCAAGTTTTATCTGAGTGTCAAATGGATTGTTGCATGAATAATGGGAGAACAAGGTGTTGGGTGGTTTAATGAATCTTGTATGAATTGTCATTAATTTTATTCAATTATTATTTTATAACAGACGCAACGAGGAAAGGATGAAGCGGGTACAGGAAGCTCGTGAAGAAAGAGAGCGTAAGGCTATAGAAGCAAAGAAACAACAAGACAGAGATAGAAAGAACAGAGAGGAGCGACTAAGAGAACAGCAGCAGCAGCACAGAAAGCAGCAACTTCTTGCTAAGAGACGTGCAGAAGAGGCTAGAGTTAAGAAGATTAAAGAACAGGTAGGTTTAAGCAGTAACCTTGGAAATTAAATTATTCATAGTTGCGTTGAATTTAAAACTCTCGTATATATTTACTATACAGTAAACCCTCGATAAATCAGCACATCTGGGCTCTGGCCTTGCTGAGGTATACCAGATTCTGACTTATCGAGGCCTTTCCCCCTTCATACAAAAATCATCGACCCATATGTGTGTGTGTACAGGTAATTACTAAATATACAAAAAGTAACACTTACCAGCACTGCAGGCGAAGAATGGAGCATCATTGTAGGTGACACAGAGGTATGGTAGGTGACACAGAGGTATGGTAGGTGACACAGGCATGGTAGGTGACACAGGCATGGTAGGTGACAGGCATGGTAGGTGACACAGGCATGGTAGGTGACACAGGCATGGTAGGTGACACAGGCATGGTAGGTGACACAGGTGTGGTAGGTAACACAGATTCATGGTAGGTGACACAGAGGTATGGTAGGTGACACACAGGCATGGTAGGTGACACACAGGCATGGTAGGTGACACACAGGCATGGTAGGTGACACACAGGCATGGTAGGTGACACACAGGCATGGTAGGTGACACAGAGGTATGGTAGGTGACACACAGGCATGGTAGGTGACACACAGGCATGGTAGGTGACACAGAGGTATGGTAGGTGACACACAGGCATGGTAGGTGACACAGAGGTATGGTAGGTGACACACAGGCATGGTAGGTGAGACACAGGCATGGTAGGTGACACAGAGGTATGGTAGGTGACACAGGCTACCAGATATGCCGAGATTTTTGCTGTTGACAACACAATATACATAATGTATGTCGTTTCTCACTCTTGATTTTTTTTTTTTACTATTTACGGTTATTTATTATTATTACTGTTATTTTGTTTATTAAAATTTTTATTAATTTTAATTAATTACACCGGTCAACGCAATTTTTCTGGCACAAGGTTTTTAAACGGATTTTAAGTAAATTTGGGGTGTAGAATCCAAATATGACTTTGGTTTTTGTCTATCACATCAGGTTTTTGAGATATACCATATTGCACTTTTGCTGGGAAACGTAAACTTTTGGATCAAAATTGACGGTTTAAACATGTATACATAAATTTTTTCAGCATTATAATTTGTATTTTTCTATAACCAAAAATTGTTAATATCAAATTGGAAAGTTAATGCACATATAATATTTAAATGTAACATTGAAGGGTGAAAAAAACAATTAATGTACGGTAGAAATAGTGCAAGTATTTAGATCAAGTTACAGTTACATAAACTTCCTCTTTTTGGCCGATCTCTTATGTACAGCTTCTGGAATGTCTCTCATCAAACTCCAGCAGTAGTCCGCCATCATGTTCGAGTCCCATCGACCTTGGTAACGTTCTTCCATTACTTTAATGTCTTGATGAAAGCGCTCCCCTTGCTCCTCGCTCACTTCTCCCAGATTTTCTGGAAACTCGTCCAAGTGACTGTGTAAGTAGTGAACCTTGATACTCATTCTGCATCCAAGTGCTTGTCAACTCCAGAGCAGCTCTTCCACAATTTCTTGATAGTTGTCCGCTTTCTTGTTCCCTAAGAAGTTCTGCACCACATTAGAGAAAGCATTCCAAGTTCTTGCCTGTGCCTCAGTCATTGTTGCAAGGAAGTGTGGATCTCTGAGTAGTGTTCTTATTTGAGGTCCATCAAAAATCCCTGCCTTTTTCTTCTCGTCGCTAAGACTTGGAAAGGTTGAGCATATATATCTGAAACACTCTCCACTATGATCAAGAGCCTTGACGAATTGCTTCATGATCCCAAGTTTTATGTGCAGAGGAGGAAGGACAATGTTTTTCCTGTCAACCAGAGGATCGTTAATGATATTCTTGTCACCAGGCATCAAACTATGTCTTGGTGGCCAATTCTTTTTCACCCAATGGTCTGCTGTAGCCCTGCTGTCCCAGTAGCACAGAAAACAGGGGTATTTTGTGTACCCTCCTTGCTGGCCCAATAGAAAGTTTACCATTTTCAAGTCCACACAAATTAACCATTCATGAGCATGGTATTGCAACCTCTCTAGAACAGTCTTAATGTTTCATACTCTTCTTTAATTTGTACAGAATGTCCGATTGGAATTGAACCATACTTGTTTCCGTTATGAAGAAGAACACATTTCAAGCTCCTTTTAGAACTGTCAATAAAAAGTCTCCAATCCTTACTATCATATGCTGGTAGTCCCATGGAGAGAAGAAGTCCTTCTACATCATTACAAAAACAAGCTGGTCATATGAATGAAAGTACTTCCGCAGTTGCTCTTCTCTGTTGCGATAAAAGGAGACACTCGTGCCAGGTTTTAAGAGTCGTTTCTCTTGAAGCCTGGAAGCTAACAATTCAGCAGACTGTTTTGGCAAATTTAGATCTCTGACCAGATCATTCAATTCTGGCTGAGTAAACAACGTTGGCTTTTCACAATCTTCACCAGATGGCTTGAAAAAATCAGTCTCTTCATCTTCATCAGTAGAAACAGGTGAATTCCGGTCTATATCCTCAATCTCTGGTAGCTCAGTAAATTCTGGCACGTTACGTGATGGAGCAAATCTGAGATCAGATTTGGATTCAGCACCTTAAAGTTAGTAAAAAAAAACAGTTAAAAGGTTTCATGCCAGAAAAAAAAATATTTTTTTGTAGACCAGTGTTGTATTACCTGTGTATTATTATTATTATTATTATTATTATTATTATTAGTAGTAGTAGTAGTAGTAAGTAGTAGTAGTATTATTATTATTATTATTATTAATGAAGTAATTATTATTATTATTATTATATTATTATTATTATTATTATTATTATTATTATTATTATTATTATTATTATTATTATTCATGGCCTCGGTTAACGAACTCAATCCGTTCCAGAAGGTCGTTAGTTAATGAAGCGTTCGATAACGAGCCATTGTTTCAATGGGTTTTTGGGTAATTGGTTCCAGCTCACCGAAAATTTCCTAAATTCAAAAAAAATGGTAGAAAAGTTCACTTACTTTGAGGTGTGTATGTAGAAGGCTCCTGGATGATGATGATGATGATGGGATTTAGAATGGGGGTGGAGGAGAAGGAAGAAGAGAAGGCATTGGGGTGGAAGAGAAGTCACCCCATGGTGCCATTTCACCCATAAAATTTTAGCTCTCTGGTTTAATTCAAGATTATTTTCTTTAAATCAATGCTGCACTGCATTATATATTGTCAATATATAAAATATATTTCAAAATGACCAATAATTTGCTTGGAAACACAGAAAAAAGCATTTAGTTGAAGAGTCTCAAGCAAGATGTTACCTCCAGTGAAAACAGAGAGAGACTAACTCCTGTTTGCTGTGTTAAGAGGCTGGATGCCGCGCATTAAACTAGTCACTTTACCTTCAATTATGTTCAATAATTGTTAAAATGACTAAAAATTGAATATTAAACTTTTAAAATTATTGAATAGTAAACCGATATTTAAAAAATAGTAAGAAATTTAAGCCTAGAACGGAATTAATATTAGGACTGATACTAAGCTGGTTGCCGGTCAGTGCAAGCTGTATTGAGAATTAGGTTGGTAGCATGAGAAGTTACGTTAGCGGTACTAGATTAACGAATTGAAGATCATATGGAAAACGCAGTTAGATTAATGAAGTCGTTGCCGAGGTGTTAAGTTAAGCGAGGGGTCACTGTATATCTTTTGCCCCAGGCCCTGATGTGGGTCAAGTGACCTGTGCCCGGGTGGGCTAATCCCCGTAAAAAAAAAAGAAACCATTCCGAGAACATATCCATGCCGAGTTGTATAAAATTCCGAGTTATCGAGGGTTTACAGTATATTAAAAGTCAGGTTACATACACTTCATCTTTCTGTGTATTTTTTCTTTAAAATGATTGTGACTCCATTTCTAATTTATGAAACCAGGAAGAAGAACGAAGGAAACAGGAAGAGGAGTCAAGGAAATTAAAGGAAGAAGAAAAGCAAAATGAGGAGGAAAAACTATTATATCTGGCAGAGCAACGCCGTCGTCAAGAGGAAGAAAGGAAACGGTAAGTGTATTAAATAAAATTACAGTAAACCCTGCCAATACTGTACCAAACTAATCCATACAAGCTCTGTCCATTATTGGGAGAATTTTCATTTTCCCCCATTCCCCACCACATGATTTATGGCTATAACAGGCTCTGTTGCAATGAAGACTGTCTATCAAATGAGAGCCCTGCTATGTTAGACAGCTACTTCTACAGTGGCACCTTTTAATTGATGGATCTCCACAGGTACTCTGTGTGGGAAAATTTCTGAATACCAAGTTATTTCTGGGGAATATCACCTTATTTAATACCATTGTAGTGCAATAACCCTATCTGGTGTCAAGCAAGTGTGTTTTCAATTACAGTTTTTGTGCTTATCTTGTAAGCACTTTCTTCCATAGGAAACACAGCTGGTAAGGTACCATTTTGGTGGTTTCATGGTACCGTACATTTTATTCATTGCCCACTGCACAAACTGGAGACCATAACTCCACTGGTTGCTTTTATTAATGCACATCCAAGTACCTCAGTTTTGCTCGCCTGGTGCACCTCTCACTTCACTGAGGATTGCTCATTTTGGAACAAGCTGTGTACAGCCATCTCTCAATTTATATGGTAGTTACGTTCTTGAGAATGACCGTGTAAATCAAACCTAATTATCCCATAAATAAAGGAAATGGCGGGGGTTAGGGGAAGCGCTCCCTAAAAACTTTAATTTGTGGATCTATTTCCTTCAGTATGTTTTTTTTACAAAAATATATTAACAATAATAATACAATAATAGAAGCAAATCTAATAATACAGTAGTAAGAAAATAGATTTTAAATGAAAATTTGTGTGAACGTAAACATTGAATGATGGCTGAGATGGCATGCAGGAACTAGTGGTGGAGGAGAGGTGGGGGTTACTGGGGGAGTTAGTCATTTGAATCAGATGACAGAGCAGGTGAATGGGGAGAAGTGGGAACTTTCGAGTTACCATATGTTGATGGCTGAGGTTAAGGTGATTGTTACTCTTTCCTTTTTTGTAAAGTAGGAAAGCAATGAGATGTAGAACTATGCTGCCTGGCGCAATGGGACTCTTTTGAAAACTGTGTTATTTAAAAATTGGTGTTAACTTAATGCTAGTGTTATTTTAAGAACATGCTAATTAAATCCGTGTAAAGTGAGAGGTGACTATACTGCTCCGAGCCCTCATGTCTGTGACTCATCTGTGAGGGTGTGTAAATTCATAAAATTAGAGAGATAATTCAAATTTTAAGTAAAAACAGGGAGTGAAGCTGTTCCATACATTCCCCGCTGCTGGGCGAAGTTTTGCTGGTGGTGGACAATAAGATATCATTTGGGTCGTATGTGCTTTATAATATTTGTATGTCTTATCTCAAGCATAATGGCTTTTATTGCACTTTTCAATTGAAACGTTAATCATGACCCCACTTATTCGCAATTTATATTTTAACAGGCATATTCTATACTTAGTTCAGTATCTGTATTCGCAAAGCATACCTTGCTTATCCGCAAAGCGAATTAGAAAATTGAAAGAAATAATTTCAATATGCTACAGTAAATTTGTTTCAAACTGCACAAGCTAACTAGCTGCTGCACTCGTACTGTATTCCTCTGTCAGAAGTAGTGCTTGGCAGAGATGCCAGGTACGATGCTGTTACCAGCTATGGACTTCTGACCCCAAGACTCGGCTGATTATGCTGTAAATTTTGTTCCTCTTTAATGGTCGTTAATTATGCCTGCATCTCTCTTCATTTCCAATTTAATGGAATATTTCTGCTGGTTACTGTCATTTAATTTGGTTTATTTTAGGCATGATAAAGGATTAATGTGTGGCTGTGCATTATTGCATATATAATGTGCTTGGTGGGATTTTTTGGGTGGAGGCCATATGTGTTTTCATAATGGAGTTTTGTTTTCTATGTATGATGATATTTAACTTTTCAGGAGCAAAATAAGGAACATGCTGGAGGTGTGTGTCATCTCTGGTGCTTGGTGGCTCAAGCTATGTGAGCAGGCTGCATAGTTAATTGTTTTTGCTGTGTATTCATACACCAGGCCATGCGAAAGAGTTCTCTCTGTCTGCTTTGATCTGTTGCGTTGTGTGGTAGTGTCGATACTGTGTCAAAAATTTTTTCGTAATGCCTCCTACTCATTCACACATTTTATACACACAATCACAAAGTTTAGTAATTATTAACAACATTTGTGTCGGTGTGTCTTTACAGTAAGTGAATTTTTTACACCCATGGTGAATCAATATTCTATGCTTATTTTAACCCATAACTGGTCATTAACGTTCAATTACGTGATCACCGATATTATTATCTCTGGTCAGTCACGTATTAGAACGTTTTCCAAATCTGCTTTTCCCGCACCTTTGAAATTGAGTCTAGCTACCATAATCTGTTTGTGTAAATGTTCCCCCCCCCTCCCATCTCTCCCCAGGGGGCCCCACCCTCCCATCTCTCCTCACAGTCAAGGCCCTGGGACTACACAGTAGTCTCTCGATAGCCATGGCATGTGAACGTAACCGGTCACTCAATCAGGTTGAGACATACTCTAAATTATTTGGTAGGGGTGAAGATGAGTATAGATTGACAGAGGCATGCATTGATAGGGATATTGAACGTGATGATAATGATAGTGACTAAGACTATGTGTTTGAACAAGAGGAAAACAACACTGATAAACAGCAAGTAGAGGAGAGAGGGTTGGTGTCCTCTTCATCTCCAGGAACGTCCAGTACTCCCTCCATTTCACCTACCCCTACCAGTCCGTCCCACTGTATAGTTACATCCACCCACACCCCTTCCTCCCTCCTACACTAGCTCCCTCCCTCCCTCCCATACTGCTACCTCCATCCCACCCTGTTCCCTCTCTCACATGCCTTCCACCTACATTGCTCCCTCCCTCCCTCCCTACCTCCCTCCCTCCCTACCTACCTACCTCCCTCCCTCCTACAGTGTGTGTGTGTGTGATCATTATGTATATATGTGGCTGCAAGACAAACCAGTAGTACTGTGACAGCACTGGAAGCGAGTAGAGGTTTGGGAATACTGCACCAGCCCTGGATTTAAATGTCTCGCAGCACCTTTAAACGAGGCAGATTTTCAAGTGTCATTTTGGGGTGTTTGGGCCATAAAAGAAAAATATGATTATCCCCGACCAGGGGGTTGGGAGGGATACCATGGATGTATAATAATGTGACCTTTTTGCAGGCTAAAGATGCTTGGCTAATAAAATGTGTTTCTGCAGTGTTGTTTTGTATTGTACCATTACCCTTTGTCCTTGAAAACGTCAATAACATGCCATCTTTGCCTGGAGAGAGAGAGATAGGTTCAGGGTAACAACACCAATGAAAAAGAAAGTGTAATTTTCTCCCTCTCTCTCTCTCTCAATATTTTTGGTCTATTACAATCAGAACAAAATTTTAGAGGGAATGTGTATAACATCTTCATGTAAGGGACATTATAATCAATACTCGGTGGTAGATGTAGCGCATGATCTCATCACAGCTGGTGCTAAATTATTTGTTTAGTTTCGATTCTGATTCGTTTGGAAGGAGAGACAGGCTTTTTGAGGTGGTTGTACGTACATCCACACTAAGTTAAACACTCAGTATTTCCTCTTAAGAATAATAAAAAAAACTATTAATATACAGTAAAAGTCCAAAAATCCGGATGCCAGAAATCCGGACCACCCGAGAATCCGGACTTTTCGAAAACTCAAACTTTTTTTTTTTTTTTTTTTTTAGCTGGCTTTTGTGTGTATGTGCGCATGCGTGAGCGCCACAGCTGCACAGCGACAACAAGCGATCGCCACTTTAAAACGAGCAATCAAACTGTGACAACGTATGTAATTTTGAGTCCTACTCTTTCCATTTACAAAGCCCATAATAATGGCTCCTGAAGTAGATAAACTCCGTTGTGTGAAGAGAAAGAAAAACACGTTGAAATTGGGTGACAAACTTTAAATAATTAAAATAGAACGTGGTGTGAGCAATACTGTTCTAATGGAAACATACAACATTGTAAAGTCTACAATTTATGATATAAAAAAGGCAAAGAATAAAATTCTAGAATTCACAGCTTTTTCTTTAAAACTGCTCATTTTGATAAATGAAGCATGCTATATTTGCTAATGAATAAACTATCAAAATGTATCTGTTCATCTCTTCTTTATTCCTCCTTAAATTTGAATTTTAAAAGTACTGCCTGAGAATCCGGAAAATCCGAAAATCTGGACTGACCCAATCCCCAAGCAGTCCGGATTTTTGGACTTCTACTGTATTTAGATAATCTTTAACAACATATTGTATTGGATGCTTCTTATTATTAACAATAATACCATATATGTTTAACCATGAGAGACTTAAGCTTGTACTACAAATACATATAGTACACTATATATACGGTATATATTTAATATGACAGGTAGGTTAATTAAGCCACGTAAAAAAATCTAAAAAAAAAAATTCCATTGATGTTTTTGTTTTTAATTGCACCAGTGAAGTCATGATTAATTTATTCTGCTTTATTAGTTATTGAAGAAACTGTAGTATATCAGAAAAATTTTCTTTTGTAGAAAAATTGCTGAGGTAGAACGCATCGCCCGTGAGAAAAAGGAGTTAGAATACCTTAAATTGCTTGAAGCACAGCGCATTGCTGAGTTACAACAAGCTAAATTGACAAGCTCAGCAGTTAAAAAGGTAAAAACTAAAGTACTTATTTTCCTTTTGCTGCATTATTTAACAATTGGTAATTAATGCAGAACTTCCTTTAGATAACATCATCTTTTGCTCAGTTCTGTTTAATGTGTTATTATGCCTGTATTCCATCAGTATTCCTCTAATCCTTTTCTCAAATTTATTATTTCTTAGCTCCTTAGTAACATCTTCATGTCCACTTTCCACATGAACCTGTAGCTTCAGTGCTCAGGTTAGTTTGTCAGCATTCTCTATTGTATTTTGTTGATTATTATGTTGTAATGCTTTTATTCATCTTATGATTATATATCTCACACTGTAATTTTCCTACAGATTGCACTAGCTGATAACAAGGAAACTGGACTAAATCATACATTCACTTTAAGTGATAACAAGGAAAATGGTCTTAATACCACATTTTCCAAAACTACTGGACCGTCTCAGTCAAGTTCTACTGGGAAAAACAAAGATAGTTATGACATTACACCAAACTCCAAGAAATATAAGAAAAATATTAATAATTATGATATAAATGATATTGAGAGTGATGACTCAACTGATGAGGACAGTGCTCCTAAGAGGAAAATTCCTCCCTGGGCTATGAGTAAGTTTAAAATTTGGATATTAATTTTTTCCTATTGTTTGGGATTTTATGAATAGAATATGTAATGGTTACATACTTATAGATTGTTGTATCAGACACATTGCAGTAGTTATATTGTACAACCTCCCTCGGTATTTTTGTTCCATAGTAAGGCAGGTTGAAAGTGCAAACAATGGCAATTAAAGTTTGCATGATGTAGACTCAAGTTCTAGATTAATTAATTTATTTACATTTTCATCTTGGATTATCTGCTATTGTTTGATGTCTTTCCAGCAACATAAGTGAAACTAAGTTTCTAATGCACTGATAATTGTGGTAATTAGCACTGTCTTGCCTTTCCACTGAGGTTGAGTTGGCAGCAGCATAAACATATCATACTGTTAGTCTCCTTCAACATGATGAAGTACACTGACTCATTCACACAAAGAATATTACCCATGCTGTATGGCAAAACTTGAGGGATTGCCTTT